ATACCCCTCTTTAATTACCTTGGCCTTGCAGCTCTTGATCCATTCACAATCAGATAGCCATGGCAGCCATTAAGGTCCACGGAAGTGTAATGTCAACCGCTACACAGCGAGTTCTTGTTTGCCTTTACGAGAAAGAGCTTGAGTTTGAGTTTGTTCCGGTGGACATGAAATCTGGGGCACACAAACAGGAGCCTTTTCTTTCCCTCAATGTAAGTGTGAAACAGAGATCTCTCGCTTTGTTTATCAGTGTGATTGTCATTTTGTTTTTTCTTTAGAGGGTTACTTTACTAGAAACGTATTGTAGAGAAATTTCATAAATTTTACGGTGAAATGTTTTATGGTGAAATTTTGTTGGATTGTTAAATTTTTTATGTTGGGTAAGAAATTGATATAAGAAAAATTAGTAAAAAAATTATTAAGTGGATTTTACGTAAAAGAAAGTTGAAAGAAAATTTTTTGCTTTAAAAAATATATAAAGAAAAGTTTAAAAATTGAGAATAGTGTAAAAAAAAAGAAAAAGACTAAAAATATCACTTTTGTTGTAATATTAACGTGTGAAAATACTTAAATAATGGAGAAAATTTAGAAAAGTTTAGGGGGAAAGTCTCCCCCAACCAAACACCCCCTATTTTCCTGTTGTTGGTCCTTTTTTCCACATGAGATTTCCTTTGGAATCAGGCATTATATAATTCTTTTATGCTACAGAGAGTTTAGCAATAGCTGCTACATGTTGAACTAAGAATGCCAATGAAACAGGAAAATGTTAATTTTGTTGAGGCACAGCTTGTAGCAGGGAATCCTGAAATTGCTCATGAGTACAGCTAATATTCATATTATTGCAACAACAAAAAAAAAAAAATGCCCTTTCTTGCATATTCCTAAGAAAGAGTTTATATGTTAACAATGTTGCTCCACATCACTTCAATAAGGAATATCTTCAATCTAACACTTCTCTTGTGGTTGATGCAGCCATTTGGTCAAGTTCCAGCCTTTGAGCATGGAGACTTTAAGGTTTTTGGTAAAGTTTAATGGAGACTCACCTATATTACTATTATATGGATAGTTTTTGTATGCAACTCACGCCTTTAATTTTTGTTATGCAGAATCAAGGGCAATCACTCAATACATTGCCCATGAGTTCTCCAACAAGGCAACTCAACTGATATATCCAGGCTCTAAGAGTATGGCAACCCTTGCAGTGTGGATGGAGGTGGAAGCCCACCAGTATGATCCTGCTGCTTCAAAGCTGGCCTGGGAACAATTTTACAAGCCCTTGTTTTTCATGGTGACAGACTCTGCAGCTGTGGAGGAAAATGAAACTAAGCTGGCTAAAGTTCTAGACATCTATGAGACTCGTTTGTCTCAGTCAAAGTACTTGGCTGGTGATAGCTTCAGCTTGGCTGATATGCACCACATCCCAGTTACACAAATCTTGGTGGGGACACAATCGAAGAAGCTGTTTGAATCACGTCCCCATGTCAATGCATGGGTTGCTGATATCACAGCAAGGCCAGCCTGCTCTAAGTTCCTTGCCATGCAAAAGCAATGAGGATTTTACCACAGCCTAGCTACTGCTTGATGCTCATTTTGCATTCACAAATAAAAGCCTATGTTTCTACCTTTTGTACTTTGATTTTGGTTTGGTCTTTGAAGATTGTATTTCTCTGTTGCCATGCACTGTGTTGCTGGTGTCTTAGCCTTTAATCTTCAAGTTGAAGGAACCAAGTTTCTGTTATAACTACATTTGAGAATAATATTATGTTATCTTCAGCTTTTCAATATTTCTTGCCTTTCTTCTACAGGTTTCAAAATTTACCAATCAATTAATGGGAACATATAATATAGATTTCAACAGTTAGAAGTTTATGACTTGCTGTAAGGAGCCGAATGCTATGTCCAAAATCATAATCCTAACTTCTATGAAATGAAAAAAATTCTGAATATCAACAATGGCATTCAAATCTACATGGATAGAAAGAAGTAGAAATACAGGGGTTAATGAATTTCAAAACGGCATTTAAGATTAATTAAATCCATGGTACAAAGTTTGAGAATCATGTTCACGGAATGGGAAATTTCTTTACCTGTGATGAAAATCAGGTAGCTGATATACATTGAAAACTTCAATTCCTTTTGTCTGGCCATCAAAAACTTGCATTTGGCATTGATGAAACGAACCCTCTCCATCCTCTCTACCAAGGCACAAAGCTGTGCAGCTGGAAGACTGAAGTAGTTAATTTGAAGTTTCCATAAGTTCTTCAACAAGTCAGAAATGATCCCCACATGCAATTAGGAGGCCCAAATGGCATTGCTCTAATTAATCTAAAAGCATTATCAACATCTCCTGCAAGTGCCAAGAGATCGACAATACATGTATAATGTTTTGCACCAGGCAAAAATCCATACTTTCATTCAAGAAGTGAAAGTAATATTTGTGACCTGTATCAACCAAAACTGAGTGACTACAAGCAAAAGCACCTGGCTCAACGAATGTTACATCTTCAACAGGCTTAAACCCTTCTTGCTCCATTCTATTAAACCACCAGACTGCCTCCTCCCTACTTTTAGCCAGTGCTAACCCATTAATAACAGTATTCCATGCATAAACATTCTTCCCTTTCAAGTTACAAAAGACACTCAAACTCATATCCAACTCCCACCTCTTCTTCCTATAAAATCATGAATCCAAACTCCCATTTTAATAGCACCAAAACTAGCACAAGCAGCTTGTGATAGGATTGGGCTTGACACCCCGCATATTGCATCTGCTCATAGGTGATCAACGCTCCATCATACTTCTTAGCACAATTATACCCTGTAATCAAAACAATCCATGAGACCACATCTCTCTCACGCATTTCATCAAACAGTTGGCGACACAACACCATTTAGCTACATGGTGCATGAAGACACTCAACAAACAATACTGTACATGAATATCATCAACATGAACCATTTTTATGAAATGGACATGTATCCTTTGCCCAAGCTTGAACACATGGAAGTCATCCAGGGACTTTTAACAGGAAAGGAAACGTATGGTTATTGGACAAAATCGAGTTTTTAAGCATGTGTTTGTATATAGTCTACAGAGAACCAGATTTCTGGGATTTTGGATTGACAGAAGGCTCTGATGATAGAGTTGCAGAGGAAGACATGTAGTTTGGTCCTGCTGGGAGTTAGGGGAGAGGAGAAAGTGAGCATCTTTCAAGAAAAGTTAGCAAAAAATCTAGATACAATAAGATGCGCATCCGGGGAATCGAACCCCGGTCAGTACCGTGGGAGGGTACTATGATACCACTACACCAGATGCGCTCCTGGTCGGTGTGTGCCTAAAAAAAATTTCTTAGACGTTAGTCAGATCTAATAGGCCCTCTCGTTTCGGCATGGAAGAGGGCTTTGCCCAGAACGGAGGAATCAAGAGCTGTGAAAATGAGGATAGTTGGGCTTACCGGAGGGATTGCGTCCGGTACGGTAAGAGCACGATCTCGAGCCTCTTCAAGTCTTGCGACATTCCGGTCGTCGATGCCGACGTTGTTGTTTGCGTATGTTTCGTTCCCTCTTCGCCAGCTTTCTCTGCTGCTGAAAGTTCAATTACATTACTGCTAGAAATCGTTTTGCAGGATGTGTTAAAGATGGGCACTGTGGGGTACAGAAAAGTGGTGGCGGCATTTGGGCGGGACATGCTGCAAGATAATGGAGAAGTTGATCGGCCCAAGTTGGGACAGATCGTCTTCTCCGATGCTTCCAAGCGCCAACTCCTTGATCAGTATGAATACTGTTTTTGGTGTTGCAGTTTTCTAAATTTCGGTGCTCTTTTCATTTGATTTTAAGATGCTATCTCTTAGAGGATAATACTAGGTTGAGGAAATTAATAAGATTCCAGAAATCATAAGTATTTGTCTTAAATTATTAGTTTAAGTATGCCAGATTTGTTAATCTGATTGTTTCACGGCATTTGGTGAAAAGTTGAATTTGGTTTTGTTTGGAATTGTTGATAGGTGTTCTATTTGTAATTGTGGTTTTTCCAGTTTTCTACCGGAAGAAAAATTATGTTATCGTTACTAAAACTATTGGTGGAGTGGAAGTAGTTTGGTTATATTTAAATGAGATCTCGAGTTTGAATCTTATAAATAAAGAAATAGGTGTTAAAAGAGTTTTTTATAAGTTTTGAACTTAATGTAATTATCGGATATTAAGAAATTAATACATAAAAAATATATATATATATTATTGTTTATAAAAAACTATTTTTTAGGTTGGACTGCCATCTTATAAAATTACTTAAATACTTTTAATAAAATAATATAAAATAAAATTTAAAGACATTTAAGTAATTTTATAAAACAGATTGCATCTAATTTGTCTTGAAAAACAATATACTATATTGTTTAATAATTGCTTTGAAAAGTGTCTTAGATATTAATAACCATTAAATTATGTAAAATATCAATTAAAATTAATTTAATCATAATAAATTAACAATTTTATGAGGTGCTTGGTGAAAAAATGTTGTTGGAAGACAACCCCAAAAGAGCAACCCCAAACACAAATTAAGTTCAGTTAGCTCCGGTTCACCTGCTCTTTTAGCTGTTCTTGGTGTCTTGTTTTGGCAACTAACAATTTGCATTAGCTTCGGCATTTTCGGAGTTACATGCAAGCTTTTGTCCTATGATATCAAAATAATTGTGTTACCATTGCAGGATGGACGTTTTGCCTTCAAATTTGTTCTGGAAAGAGAATAAGATGATTGAATAGCTATGAGTGAGTAAGCCATTCTAATTGCAGTTTGTGGACTTAATATATTGTTTTCAACTTTGAAATGTTAATGTGATTGTTGTCTACAATGAGGGAGGTGTCTAGCATATAAAATCTTCCCTGTTTTATAAAGTGGAACAGAATTAAGTTCCAAAACATCACTGAGTTTCATTTATTGTGGGTATGCTAAGGCCTTTTAAACAATAGTTTCAAAACAGTGAACTCTAGGAATTTATTTCTTCCAGACCTGGAATTGATGTAATATCTATAACTAGCATTCACCTCTTGGTACTAATATGCTTGCAAAGTGATGTTGTGTGCCTAGAAAATCATATGTAACATTTTAGTGGCAGTTCAAAAGATCTTGCCCCCTTATCCGTAAGTCATGCGGTTGTAGTTTAATAGCTCTATTATTAGCAAGTTTTGACTCATCGATGTGAAAAATTTTTAGGAGGATAGTCTCCTTTTTATCTGAAGGTAGTCTGCCAATTTTAACCTAAATCACCATTATTTGCTATGTTTCTTGGTAATGTATCATCATATAGAAATTTCTCATGCTAATATGTTAGATTTTTATTTTGGTTATTTTGTTCTTGTAGGATGTTAGCTCCTTATATATCCTTTGGCATCTTCTTGGAAATTCTGAAGCTTTGGCTGAAGGGGTTTGAGACAATAGTTCTTGATATCCCTTTGTTATTTGAGGCAAAGATGGAAAAGCAGACAAACCCCATTATTATTGTATGGGTTGATCCTGAAACTCAGCTTCAGCGACTCTTGTCAAGAGATGAAACAGCAAAGGAGGATGCAAGAAATCGGATAAATGCGCAGATGTCTCTAGACTCGAAAAGGAACAAGGCAGACATGTTGATTGATAACACTGTGTCACTCAAGGATCTGAATGAACAGTTCCGGAGGTTATTGTTCCAAGTTCACAAGGCCTTTGACATGGACTGAAGTCTGACTTTCAAGGCAGGGAGGCTTGTCGACTCTTGTTTCTGTTGTTGTAGGTGTTCTTTCATGCTGAAAAATTTATAATACATTGTAGGCAGGGAAGTTGCCCTAAATGCTTTAATGGATGTAAAATACATTATTTTCTGTCTAATGTCAAGTAACATAGTATTTTTTTACTTCTACATTATTTAATGCCTTATCTCATTCCCAATTGGTCAGTTAAATCTTTAATTTCATCATGGAGACCTCCTTCAGTTTCGCTCTGCCATTGAGAAGTTGAGCAAGTGGTCCACAATCCATTCCTGAGATAAGTCTCCTTCCATGAATTTGTGTACCGCATTAAGATTATCTTTGCCATAAGATTTCATTTGATTGCTTCTTTTGAGATTTGGATCACTACTGAGACTTTTGATGATAATGATCCGTTTCCTGTGTATTACTACTTGTGCAAGGGACATAAAGCAACAAAGATTGTGAGTGCCAAGTACTGTCACAAGCCACTTCAACTGTAAAAGCCTGGCAAAACAAGTGGCTTAAATAAAGTTGAAGATGGCAAAATTTGCTTTGTTACAGTATTATGTGCTATATTAGAATAATAGAAGATTCAAAGTGCAGCAATTTTTTAGTGATATTCTTTTTCTTTTCTTTTTGGTATTCTTCCATGTTGCTTGAAAATTTGTAGTATTATGGTATTATTTTTCCTTTATTATTCATTGGTGTGCTCCAGAAAGCATGGCCAGATAACTCTTGGCTGTCACTAAACTCACTACATTTGAAAGTATGCACTATTATTTAATTTTCCCTTTACAATCTGCATAATTAATATGAGAGATATATTATTTAATTCTTCTTCCCTTGGCTCTTTTCTTGTTTTACATGGTTTACTGTTTCATTTGTATCTGGTTTGGATGTTGAGAGCAGGACAAGGAGCAAGTACTCAGAGTCATGTAAATTCTCATAGTACTTCTTTAAAATGCTTTACCGGTTTAGTATAGGAACCGTGGAGGGGAATTATTATCTGACTCCAACTTGCTCTATGATTCTTTACAGTTGTCTCTTTATCGAAAAAACATGTGAATCAATAATTGAGCATTGTTAGCCTGGAACAAGAAAGGTCAGGTCACGGGTTACGATTGGAAAAGAATGGCTACAAAGGGGAGGCTGTTCCCCCCATGTTAGTGGGGATTGGAAGATTGGACATTCTGATGGTATTGTTTCGTGAGGCTCCAATGTAATCAACATAACTAAGAACTAGAGTTTGGCCTAACAGTTGTTATTTCTCTTCCAGGAAGAAGAGTTTCAAGTAGCAGTATGTGTGAGCTTAATAAACCTAACTCTTAAGGTTTGAATATCTGACCTTAAGAACACGATCAACTTCTGTCAAATTTAATGTTTTGAATATGATCCATTCTTGTACTGAATTTTTAGTCAAAAGCATGTGAAGCGGAGATCATGTATGTTGTTGTTGTTGTTTCTGTAATTGTGTTTAGGAAAATCATTTGTGTGTAGATTTTACCTCTTAAAATACCATGATAAAAATTGACAGGAGCACTAGTGAAAATTTAGACAGCATGGGTGCATTTTTTACCTAAAGAGTACAATTATTGAATAAAAAGAAAAAAACAGAGAGGAGGAACAAATTAATGTGAAGCACTCACTTTCATAGGCTAAATACAGTGGAAAGCTACTAGATAAAGTTGGAAAACAGTATAGGATGTTTGCTTTGGATTGGGATTGTGTCTCTTCTTGTCTATGCCTTTCTGAAGAAGTAGTTTTGTTACTAGATTTTTTTACACAGTTCACTATGCATTTGTTTGCTTCTAATTATTTGTTTACTTAATTGGAATCCAGGATCCCAAAAGATGCATTAGAAGCAAACCCATCAACTGGTTTGGCCAAACTTTTTTCTGCCATTATGCCATGTTATTGCTCACTGCCATCAGGACAACCAGTGAGCTTGGAACACCTGTCACAGCAACCACTGGCTAACTAATCAGGACAAGGTAACATTTGGTTGTTTAATTAAAGCTTAGACAAATCCTTATTGACCCTAAACCAATAGTGTTTATCTTGGAAATTAGAATCTTCTAGGCTTATGGATAGCCTCCTAGGTCTTTCAAAACTAAAAGGCAAAAATACAAGAGGATCTGCTATCATTTGTTTTCAAATTAAAGAAACTAATGTTTTGAAAAAAGAACCATATATATATATATATTTGTATAAATTTTTTTATAGCATGGATGCCTAGACATTTGGCCTGACTAGTACCATTAACCCCTACAAACCGTCTAGACGTCTCCTTGTGTCTCGTCCATAGGTATTAGCCAAAGGCAAAGCTTCAACAAAAGGTGGGCGAAAGAGATTCAAATCTATGTTTCCAACATATTTGCACCACTTCTTATCAATTGTCTAACCCAGCAAATTTGAAAAAGAGGAATAATATTTTCTATGAATTAAATCTTGGTATAACGATTAAAGTACAAACAATAATCCTTCCCTTCACCTTGTAGAAGATAAAAATAAATGAACATATTTCATTTTTAATTGTAAAAATATGAAACTAGAAGCAATATAATATATCTTTGTTTGGTATGCATAGAAAGTGCTTTTAGGTCTTACCTTTATGTGATTCCTCTGGGCTGTAAAAAAATAGAATATCCACATCAAAAGCAACCGGGGTTAGTCCAAGGGTCAGTTGAGAAGGCAAGAGGGAGGACTCCTGGGTAGTGATGTAACTAGGTCACTTGACTATGTTGACAGGTAGAAGTTGATTGGTTGAGAATTGGAGGTGATGTGGCATCCATACCAGTTGCTTCTCATTGCTTTCCTTCTACTTTTAACTCCGTATCTTGATTTTCCTTCCTCTTAAACATCTGCCCTTTCTCTCCTTTGCTCTCCTTTCCTTTCTTCGGTTCTCCATTAAGTCATCTCTCTACCTCCAAATGGCAGGAAAACAAGCTGAAGAGACTCCAGGAGCCCTGAAATTTCAGGTTAGCATAGATAATTATTTATTTCATTCTCTTCTACTCTCATTTTCCTATCTAAAATTCGTCAAAACTCTTTCTTTTTTTCTTTTTACGGTTAATTGTTAACCAAGGAACCTTAACTGTTTGATAGACATGGGTCTTGAAAGTCTTTATCCATTGCGATGGCTGCAAGAAGAAGGTGAAGAAAGTTCTTCAAGGAATCGATGGTATGTAACATAATTCTAACTCTTAACATATTCTGTTTTGCATCTTAAAGATTGTGTGGTAGATAAGTTCTGTTGATCTTTTCATTAGCAGACCAATGATTTGATTCTCTTGATCATTGTTTAGGTGTTTTTATGACGGACATAGATTCTCAGCAGCACAAGGTCACCGTAACTGGCAGCGTGGATGCTGACACTCTCATCAAGAAACTGGTGAGCAAAGGGAAACGTGCTGAGCTCTGGCCACAAAAGCCTGAGAAGAAAGACAAAAAGGCTGGAAAATCAAAGAACAATGAGAAAGAAAAGGACCCTGGAGAAGGTGAAGAAATTGATGATGATGGCGATGAGCCTCTAGAAGGGGACAAAATGGGCAGTCAGGAAATCGAGGGAACCGGTGGAGAAAATGGCAGCGGAGGTGGAGGGAAAAAGAAGAAAAAGAAAGGGAAAAAAGGCAATTCTGGAAATGGCGGAGGCGATAGCAACCCCAGTGAGACACCTGCAGGTCCTGCATCTGCTAATGCTATGGCTACTACTCCAGACCCGGCCCTGCCTATGGCATCAATGAATCTCCCTCCGTTTCAGCCTCCGTATCCATACCAGCCCATGTATTATACACCTCCAATGTTCGGAATGAGTTACAATACGGCATATCCTAGAGCAAGCACTTCATACTATGCTCCTCCCATGCACGCCATCTCTTATCCGCCACCTCCACCACCGTCTTACCCAATCAGAAACCACGGCGAGGATGATTATGATGAGGATGGAGTTATAAGCTGTGCAATTATGTGACCATGGAAGGTCCAAAGGGACAAAGTCACATAATGCTTAGAGTATGTTGGTATGGGTGTGAAAAGGAAAGGAGAGGCAAAAGGGATTAATTTTGTATGATCCAAAGCTAGAGTATAATTAATTAATTAAATTATATATTTCTGGGGGAAGAAATAAATGTTTGTAATGGGAGTTTGGATTTTGGAGGCTTTGTATAATTCCTTAGGGTTTGTTTGGTTGTGTTAAATCTGTAGGGACTTGAAAATCTCTCTTTCCCTCTTTCTTATGTGTAAAGGAGAGTTTCTGTTTTGTAATTGTCCCTTTCTTTCTCTCAATTTCTGAAGGAAAGAGCCCAGACTGTTAAAATAAATGCATGAAAATGTTCTTAAAAGGACTTCTTTTTGGAAAGAAATTAAAGTACCTTTTGTTCCTCTTTGGTTAAAACATCTATGCTTTCAATGGAGGGATATTAGCAAGCTCCCACTTCAACAGAAGAAAGCTTTTGCTTTTTCTATCTTTCAAAGTCTCCACGCTAACTGGGCACTCGGGGCCAATACTTGAAAACTTGTTCATTAAGTAGTGTTTTTTTTTTTTTTTTGGGTGAATAAGTACTTGTTTATTAAGTAGGATCCAAACAAGATCTTCATTGCATGTTTTTGGGGACTTAAATAAGTTAGAATTGAAAAGCAGCTTTCATGAAGTACTTCTCCAACTGGGTTTTGGTTCAATGATGAGAAAAAGTAGAACCTTAATAAACCCCAATCATAGCTTTCTAAAAGATGCAAGAATATTTTCTCATCACCACATATCGCCTTTTAATCAAGGCCGGCGACCCCCCCGTCCCCCCACCGGAGAATATTCAGTGTGGATTATACTTCTTTTTCAAGACTTGAAAGTGAATATATGGATATGCTTATCCTCACAAGTACATTCCTCAATTCATATGTTCAACCTAAAGATAACCTTTCTCAATCTTTTTGCATAAATATTTTCTATTATTATCATTAAGTTTAAATTAAAGATTTTTAAGTCTTAAATCCCGATATCAATTAAGGACGTATATCACGTGCACACAATATTTTCATCTTCTACTCGAAATTCTAAAAAGCTCAGGTGATGAAGCTACTAACTTCAATTATTTCCATTGATAATCATTTCCATAAAACATATGATTTAGTTTTATTCCACCTTTTACATGGAAAGGATAAGACAAAGTTGATTGTAAGGACCCTCTTTTACAGATATTAATGAGTTAATAAATCTACAAAGCACCTCAAATAAGATTAAAAAAAAAATCTGCAAAGCACCCACTTTATTTTGTCTCTACCAAAGTTCTTGCCACTACTTTTTCATTTCCCCAACATTCATTCCCAACTGATTCCCAGTACTCAATCATGAAAAGATAGGTACTACTATTTGATTTTCAACAAATCATCAAACCTTTGACTGCAATATATGGCCTCTTTTTCCACCCCTAGTGATGATGATGAAAGAATAATCGAGAGGAGCAAGTAGAAGTAATTATTAATAGGATTCTTAATCAAAACAAAAGAAAACTTATATTGTTCTAATACAATCTTGAGGTGGACTAATCTTTCCCTTCACTTCAACATCATAGGGAATCCAATGTAACATAATCTTGATATTTATATTAGATATATCTAAACTTAATTGATATAAGATAGTATAATTACTTTTATGATAGTAATATAATAAATTAATCTAAAATTTTTGTTCTTTTCCTTTTCATTTTTGTGTGGGGTGATAATATTCCAAAGTATAGGAATGGGTCCAAATTAATAAAGGACGAAACATAGATATAGTGAGATTTTGATGTGAAGGATGGAAAAAAAATGAACAAGGACGCTAAGTGTTGAACCATTCATGATGTTAAAGGGGAATGGAATCTTAGTTCAGAGTCGTGCGCATATATATACATCTTATAATATGTTTGGCCTCTTTTGCTAACCATCAGATTACTCATATTCACTATAACTTTGAAACTTTAATTTTGAAATTGAAGCTAAGGATGAAATATTTACGGTGGGTAACATGTAAAATCACTTATCTTGTAAGAAATGTAGAAAGAAAGGACATGGCTTTTTGAAGGAAAAGGTAAATTAATGATGGAAAATTTGAAAGGTGGTAATGAGGATGAAAGGATTAGGCCATAGGCAGATTTACTTGGCCATAATAATTACAAAGTTTGGTGGAAATTAAAGTTGATATTGATAGTACACTATCTTCATTATTTCTTCACCAAAAAAGATGAATGCAGTGCTAAAGGAATAAATATAGGGTGTTTTTAATTTGCATCTTTCTAGTACAAATTAATGGTATATTTATTATATTAATTAATTTATAAAAAGTTTATATTAATTTTAATAACTATTTAATTAAATTTATCCAAATAATAACAATGCTAAAATTAATATTAATTTTTATACTCTCTTTATTTCGAAATATAAGTTATTTAATTTTTTTACACTAATTTTTAAGTAATGCTTTTTTTTTTTCATAACATATGAAAAATAATTGAATTTTTTTTAATCAAATAAATTTACTCAATAAAAACTACAATAAAATAATAAAAAATCTGATTTATCATTTATATACTATATAGAGATATTGTTTAAAGTTTTGTGTGTTAAAAAAGTTAAATGACTTACATTTTGAAATAAAATGTGTATTATCTTATGTAAATTAATAAAAAAAATTAATAAATATATTCTTAACTTATACTTATTGCATAGACTAAGAATACCCATTTAAACATCAACCAACAGCAAAAGAGACGGAGGCACT